GATATATCGGTTATGGCCAGAGCCAATACGCTCCTTAATGGCGTTAAATCCTTGAGATATGAATCAATAGGATATGATCGATAGGGCACAAAGCTCTCTGTTAGCTAAGGTGGATTCAAATTTGTCCTCTTAGACAAACATTCAACCTCGGTCTACAAGGTTCCCTTGGACGAAGCAACCCATGGCTGCCGACAAGGATCCTTCTGTCAGGTTGGGTCGACTACCTCCTCTGACTAAGTAGATCAGGGACCACGATGGCCCGGGACGATGGAACCATGGGATCTTGATCGGGTCTATCATCCATTCCCCCACCATCCGCTTTAAGTACTAGATGGTGCAATTTCTATTTTAAATAGCAAAATGTCCAAATATCCAATTTCCAAATCCAATTTCTACCAATATCTTAAACCATATGCTGCTACTATATGCCAGATAACACGTATATTATACGTATCTGATTGACGACTAGCCTTAATCGAAAGTTCTCTCTCGTGATCGGGAGAGGTAATTAACTATAGGGGCTTGCGCCTATAGGAAACCAGAACTCAGATTATAAAGTCCTCACAAAATGAGGGCGAAATCTCTGGGTAGTGTCTTATCTACAAACCTATCTGCCTTCCAAAATTTACCTCGGAACTTAGTTCGTTAAAACTCCCTCGCCGAATAAGAAAAGCGAGCGGAGGCCGGGGCCGAATTTTCGAAGCCCACAACATTATATTAAAAATGGTAAGCAATAATAAATTAATTTCATGATACTAGGTACCGAGCTTGTACCTAGCGGTGCCGAGCATGTATTGAGCGGTACCTAGCGGTACTGAGCATGTACATTATCTTTTTTTGGTAAGTTTAAAAAAACAACATTTAATATTTCAGGCGTCGAGAGTCAAGCGTCGATGCCATTTATAAGTCATCGAGAGAGATGAAAATATCTTCACTGCCAAAAAGAAATGAAAATAAAAATATTCAATGATTGGGAATTAAGTGCGGACGTTGATTTGATGTTGTGGATAAGAAATAAGAAATTTAGTTTAAATCCAACAAAATACAAGAAATTGTATTTTAAAAAATTCATAAAATATTTAAGATACGCGTGTCCAATTTACATTTAATATTTTTTAATCGGACACGTTTTTGGCGTGTCCGACACGTGTCGGAGGAGTGTCGGATGAGTGTCGTGTCGGACATGGTGTCGGACACTACACGTCTCTTTGAGGAGAAGTGTCGGTGCATCATAGCTCACCAATGATTATCCTTGATCTAAGGTCATATGTCCCATTTCTATGCCTAATACCAAGGTAGTAGGATCAACGTCTAGGATTGTCATCACAATTGGGTATTAGTCCCACTAATTGGGCTTTTTTACCATCAAAATATATATATTTCCCAACCCTTAATTGACAATTTGACATCAATGTAATAATTAACTTGAACTTTGAATATATGTGGCATTATGGCACCTCATTTATAGGTTAGGTTGTATGACCCACCACTGGTCTTTCCTTTAATCGAGAAGCTATTAGTCCAGCTTATAATCACTTTCAATATCATTATGAAAGTCTTATCTTCTTGGCACCCTAAGTCGAGTGGTATACCTTAGGTCTCTATTTATAGGACCTGATAACACGGCATTCACTTTGACATTTGATTTTTTTTATTTTAATACATCTTTCAAGGCCATTTATGTTGAATACTTCTCTTCGAGCTTCCACATTTATAGGTAGAGGTGTAAAAGCCCATCCTTAGGCCTTCAGTAGAGAGGTTATAAGTCTCACTCATGTCAAAAAAGTGGTTCAAATATTTGGATATTTACACAACTACCATCTTAGGTTTTTTTTATATAGTTGGAGTAACTCTACTATCTTCTGGCTGGATTATAACCCTATATGTCTTACATGATTCTCAGGTTGTCTATAACTCAATAAGTTACACATACAATTTAGAAGCTGTGTTATTACCATATGAGTCCCACTTTTTAGCCACTTTATATTTAGAGCTATAAGCTTTGATCTTCTTAGTTCTTAATATTGGAATTCATCCATGTAGGTGAACATTTCTCTAACCTAAGTGGGCATCACTTCAACCTAGTTCAAGGTAACCTTTGAAGTGAGTAAACTTTGGCTAGCTTTGGGTTCCCTACTTGAGACAACCCGTGGATATGATCATCAACTCTACATCACATGGACAAGCTCTCCAAGTCTTATGATACAATGTCCACTAGCACATAAACCCGTACCTAATGTGCCTTAAGTTGCATTCCCTTCTGGTCAACCTATCCTCATCTTGGATAGCTAAATAGCTATGCCAATACTTCTGAGCAAGTGAGCCATGCATAATTGCCCTTGACTGCTCTTAGCCATTTATCATATTGCTAAGTCAACTTCAATATGAATTTGTTTGGCCTAATGTACTAAACTTCTTGTGTCCACATCCTTAAACCTTTGAACCATTGGCATCCATATTGGTCCACTCAGTCCCTTTTTAACATGGACAAAATCCTTTGTCCTAAATTCCAAAGGATGGTCTTGGATGTACTACCACCCTAGTGTTCCTTGGAATATCTGATAGACAGCAACCCATTGTTGCTAATCAGACTCCCAGGACAATGTGGTCTTCCATCCTTTTAGTTTTCCATTTGTAATAAAATCATGTGATCTTAATTTGTTTGACAATCCATCCTCATTCATTCTTCTTATTCAACACAATTTTATCTCCTCCCATCCACCGCCCCTGGCCCCCCTCTTAAAAAAACTAGGAGCATCATTAGTTGACCTCATAATCAGGTATGGGTGGAGGCTCCATAACTGATGTATGGTGACTAGGTCTGTCTCTATGTTTAAACTACCGCTGGGCAGTACCCTGTTGTTGGGATACACATCAGAGGTGATTTTGGTCTAGATTTCTTAGAATTCTGTAGCACTATATTTTTCCTCTCTCATCTTCATGACTAATTGCAATGAGAAATTAGGAACATGATCTCCGAACCCACACCAATGTCACGGAATGTTGGGTGCTTTTCAAACAGTGTTGTCCATTTAAGGTTGGGCAAATTATACAACAATAAGAAGTATGAATTATTATATAGCTAACGTATGTAAAAACTAAATCATATAATGAAAAAAATAATTTTATTTGAATTTGGAAAAGCATATGGTTTAGATATATTGTGATTTCTGTTGAAATTGTAAATTTATTTATTTTTGGTTTACAAATAGCTTAGTTATTTGTGTGAGATAGTTATTTACTTCGAGGTTAGGCTAGCGTTAGAATCCTTACTCTTAAAACTCTCAAGTCTCGTAATTTGGTGGCTTGTTCTAGATTGCAATGAGAAGGCTCTTTACATTTGACCAGAAAACCTGACTGGTTTTCCCTTTTCTAAGAAGGCTGAATTAGAGCTTGTTATGCTCTGAATACTGATTACGACTTTTGTACTGGTGAATAAGCTGGCTGTTCTGACCTCTTTGCCCAGAAGATTCGTTAAACTATGAATTGCAGTTTGCATTGTAGGTGCATATTTGGTAGATAAGTTGACATATAAGCTTGTAGACTTAATGTTTGATTTCCGTTTATTGCAGCCAGTTTCTGGTGGTACAAGCGCTAGAGCTACCCCCATGGATGTTGACAAGCGTCAAGGTATTATTTTCTTCAATTATTACATATATTTACTAATCAATTTCAGAGCTTCATGATTTACACTGTTTATGATTAATTTATTAGTCTAAATTGTGATTAATTCGTATGTGCCAAGCTGATTTTTTTATGTTATTGTGCACTCGTGTTGGGTAGATTCATTGGCGAATAGTTATGAAATATATAGCCTTATAAGCATACATCGGGCATCCCATCTTAAATTCAGATTCATCCGATCATGATCTGAGCCGCTTTCATCAGGTGGAGCCGGTCTAAATTTGAGAAAAACTCAATGGAATCTTGCCCAGCCATGATTAAAATAAATATTTAAATTGATGAAGTTAGCAACAAATTAATTGCAATTCTGAATTTCATCCGGCATTGAATTTAACCTTCAATTAAAAGTAATGCATTATATTTTTAATTTAAATAATGTTAACTGTAGTTGAGATGGCAATGGGACCATCTGTTATTTTACATTATGTGGTGTTCATGGATTAAGAATGAAGGACTTTTGGGATTTGATTTTGATTATGTGGATATAGAGTTGAAGCCGAGATAACCATGTTTGGAGTGTGTTAAGATTCAAGCTGTTAGATTATGTGCTAGATTTCTTGTGTGTTGGGCTGAATTATTTGAGGTAAAAAAATGGAATAAGAATTTTAATTGTCAGCAATATCGTAATGGAAATTTGGTTTTAACATTTTTTTTCATGCAAAATGTTTTATTTTTTCTAAATTTTCAGAAGGAACTAGCCAAAATTTTTCAAGTTGGATAGATTGTTGAGCACATTAGCATTTAATATCATACCGTGGACTTGAATTATTTTAAAAAAAGATAAATGATAATAATAATAGTAAGATAATAAAAGATAAATTATTTGTTGAATTTAATTTAAATTAAATTTAAGTTGATTTTGTGCTAAATTTATCTACTAGCCTAGGTTGAGTTGCTTATAAATTGTGATTTGAGGCATTGAAGTCATAGTTTTTGGTTTTAATAATATTTCTATTTTCAATTTCAATAATTTAAGTATAAGTTAGATGCTAGATTCTTTTGAGTGCGGTATAAGTGTGACCATCTAACTTTAGAGGAAGTTATTTGCTTCTATTTGAGTGAAGCCTGATTTTTTTTATTTTAGTAATTTGTGCCTTGTTTATTTCTTTTATATAATTTATTAGTGGAGAATTTGGTGCTCTTAATTTGGCCAAAAAAATAATATGTCAAAAATCTGATTTTGTTGAAATTAATTCCTTTGCTTGCATATTTTGTCTCGTTGAAATTCTCCCAAATTTATAATCATTTCAATATCAATCAGGCTTAAACTCTATAATCGCATGTTTTCTTTCAAAGAAATGAGCTGAATTAAATTTGTAGTTCCATGAATTTTGAATTTTCAATTTCTCGTTGCAAGAAAGCATGAAGTACATCATATAAATTGCATCACTAAACCATAGCCCCGAGTCATCCTAGATTTGCTTGCAACTTTTTTTCCCCTCATTTTTTATATTATTTTGGATCTAATACATAGTTATCTGTGAAGTTTCCGGTGCTGGTGATTGTGAAGAAGACGTTACCGAGAGAGTAGGACCAAGTAATGTCACAAGGCCAACTGTTCGAATGCAGTTTAAACCTGCAGGTGATAAGAATTTGGCTTCCGATAGTCAACGGCTTGGTAAGCTGGTGAGTAAATCTTTTATTTCTTGCTGGTTTGAGTCCTAAAGGGGAATTTAATGTCTGTATGGTACCATCCATCATGGCTGATATTGTGAATATGTTTATAAAATCCTATCTAAAAGCAGTTAGAACTTCTGTGTAGATTCTGCCTTATCAGGCACTAGGCTTGCACGCAATTCCAACTTATTATTTCTGACTAAACATTCTGAGAATTTTAGAAGAAAATAATGTCTAAAATCATGACATCTTTTGAGAACAATTCTAACTCTACAACAAACCAAATCAGCTTTTTGGAGGCCCATACTACGGCTTCGTTTGGGACGGCTTTCTTATTGCTTCTTAAAGCAGCTTTTTAATATAAAATTTTTAATTTTTAAACTAAAAAGCTTTTTAAGAAGCAATAAAAAAACCATTCCAAATGAAGCCCACATCTGACACAGTACCGGAAAGTATTCTAATTTTGATTGTGTGACTGCTGTTCTGATTGTAGATTGGGTAGGCTTTAAAAAACTTAGTAATTTTGCAAGAAAAGCATGCCCTGGAGCTCTACCTGTTGCTGAATGAAATGCATCAAGTCCTGATGCTCCCTCCCTCCCTCCCTCTCTCTTCTCTCTTTCTCTCTCTCTCTCTCATAATTCATCCTTAGAGCCAGTAGCCATATGTTCTGGGATTTCCGAACTATATACTTCTTATATGTAATAGCAATACAGAATATAGGAAATGAAAACTGAGAACAAGTGAAGAAGGCTTATAGCTTTTTTTTTTTTAAACTTCAAGCTACTTTACAGACACTAGTTCTACAAACTTGCTTTATATATTCAAAATTCACAACGTTGTACCCAAATCTACTTGATTTTCTTGTAGTCTTTTCTTTTGACAGACTAGACATTGTGGTAACCAGTTTATAGAAGGATTTTTAATCTGTTGGTAGTTCTAATAGATCATTTTCTATGCTTTTTTTTTAAATTAAGCTGTATGATTCTAAATTATTTTGTACCAAATGTGTCAGAGAGTAGGCACAGGCGCTGACAAGCTTCACATGTCATCCACTTCGTTTGCGCTTCCCAGCATTTCAAAGAAGAATGTTGTAGGCTCCAATCCATCCGCCACAACTGATGCTTCTCATGTTGCTCGTGTTTCTGGTGGCAATTCCGGATCTTCAAGCAGCTGGCTTCCTCCATTGCAGCGGAACGCTTCAGCCAAATGATAGCATGATCTGCAAAAAATACAAGGTTTTCTCAATATTTCAGTTGCATTTTTTCATTGCTCTTAGGCTTCATTTGGGACAACTTTCATATTGCTTTATAAAACCGCTTTCTAGTACAAAAATTTCAAATTCATAAATGTAGCTGTTTTAAACAGCAAGAAGAAAGCTGTTGTCCCAAACGAAGCCTTAGTCAATCTGCATTCCTTTTGCTCATATTTTTGACGTAGAAATTCTATGAGAATTGAATGGTGAGATGGGCATATATGCTCACAAAATTTGGTAATCATGACAGGTCAAGTTCCTGTATTTCCATTAAGGTCACCGCAGACTCATTGGATGCCATATGAAGATCTTTACAATGGTTGACTTGTGTGGAAAATGCTTCAGTTTCCACTACTATTTATGCTTCTTCTTCAGTTTAACTTGGATGAAATGATAACCAAGTTTTTTTTTTTTTAAATTTCACTTCTCAACATAGCCCATGGCTCCTCTTGTGCCTGTCTTATGGCTTGTAAAATTTTCTATTTTGTACGTTTTGTTTCAGGTTGAAAGGCTTGTACATTTATTCTTGTAATACTTGTTTCAGAGCTCTAGAGATGGTCGTCTGCACCAATTTTAGCATTATTAGGTACTCCTCTAAATAGAGCCAACACTAAGTGCTTCCATTTCTATTTTCTGTGCTGCTCATGTTTATTGAACTTTTGTCAGGTAAATTTCACACAATTTTCTGTTTTTTTTGTAAATTATAATAGGTACTTCACATCAAATATTCGAATTCTTCACCTTTTTTTTTTATAATATCAATTTGTTTATCTGTAATATATTCTTGTTTTTGTTTTTATTTTCAGAGAAAGGTGCTGTAATGGAAGAATGGTGGAAGGTAATGCAAGTAATTATTGAACATAAATAATGTTATGCTTATCTTTGTGATGATTATGAATTAGGGTTTCTGTTTAGGAGAGTAGTTTTGGTTGGAAATTATATATTTTTAAGCTCTGCTGGCAATTTTTGCATTATATGGCTTAATCTATCTGCAGTTGACTTGAGGAAATATCCGGAATTGCATAAATTAAAGATTCAAAGATTCAGGCTATGGACGGCTTTTTATTGCTTATTAAAATAATTTTTTTGATTATAAAATTAAAATTTTTATACTAAAAAATTATTTTAAGAAGCAATAAGAAAGCCGTCCCAAATAAATCCTCAATTGGACTGTCTGATTTGCTTAGTTATAATTTGGGTGAGCTTAGGGCTTCAATTGAGATTGTTTTATTAATGAATTCCAAAGCTATTTTTTAGTATAATTTTTTTTGAATTAGAAATTGTCTGAGATAGTAAGAAGATGCTTTTCCTGAAAATGCAATATAGCCAAACAAAATCATTTTTTTTTTAAAATTCTTTTGGGATAGTTTTATTATTATTTTTTTAAGAAGTTTTTTAATATAATTAAAAAATAATGGCAAAAATTCATCTAAGCCTAAATTTTTCAGTTAAAATGATGCCTAATGTTTAAATTATAAAGATAATTTTCTCATCAATCTTACTTGCAAAGTTGAAATTTATTATATGGATTTGATTTTAGTATTATTTCTGTCTTCCCAAATTTAACTTGCATAATGTCTCCAATTTAGTATCACCAGTTTGTTGGCTACTATTTATGAGTATTATATAAGGAGATAGTTTGTATAATGTTGAAGGATGTTTCTTGTTCTTCTACATCATTAATCATTATATAATGTTCAGAGTTGAGATCAGAGAAATTGTCTAAGTTATCATATTTTGTAGTTATTTTATTTTATGGTATACAAAATAGAATTTCTCTATTGGGTATAGGTGTCAATATTGGATGCGACCTGAAAATCTGACTCAAATTTGACCCGAAAATTTCGGGTTCGGGTTTAATAATTCGACCTGTTTAAAAAATCGGGTCAGGTTTCAAATTGGGTCATTCGGGTCGGGTCGGGTTGACTCGGACTCAAAGCGGGTTGGGTTTAGGTCCGAAAATTGACCCGTTTACAAAAATGGGTCAGGTTCGGGTTGATCCGAATAGTACTGTGTTAGTTTCGGATTCGAGTCGAAACCGGCCCGTGACACGAAATTGACACCCCTATTATTGGGGGTTGTTTGTACTTTGTAATGATCATTGAAATGCCCAAAGGTGGAATTGTCTAATCCAAAGGCCTTTTAAACCAAAAATAAAAAAATAAAAAATAAAATTAGCGTATGTTATAAGGGGTGATGATTGACCGGACGAGCTAACAATGAAATGAAATCCATGTTTTAAAAGATAAAAAGAATCAAAATGATTTTTTAATTCTTTATGAAAGATTAAAATGATTTTTAATTATATTAAAAAGATGATTTTGATTTTATAAGGAATTCCTTAAAGAGGAATTAAATAGTTTTATTATGAGATTATTTTGATTATTTAAAGGTTTTGAGAGATCAAAATGATTATTTAATATAAATGAGGATTATTTTAATAAAAAAAAATTCCTTTAAAGTGCTTACATTTTTTTGTCAAATAAATTCAATATTTGTGTTTTAAAATTTATTATTATTCTTATTTAGAATAGGAATGAGAAAATAAAGCTAAATTTTAAATTTTGATATTCTAGCTCCAAGTATTACTAATTGCACAAAGTGCAAGTAATGTTAGATCTAACAATTTAACATTTAATAATTTTACGTTATTTTAAGTTTATTAAATATATTTAACCCCTTTTTAAACTTTTTTATAATACATTTTCTAAGAAATTATAACTTGAGATTAGAAACCGTTTAAGCATATATTAAAGTTTCATTTGAGGTAATTTTACTGTTTCTTAAAATAATTTTTTAATATAAAAAATTTAAATTTTTTATTAAAAAATTATTTTAAAAAATAATAAGAAAATCATTCTAAAAGAAGA